GTTTTTAGGCAGAACTGATGGAATTTAAACTGTTTTTAGGCAGAACTGATGGAATTTAAACTGTTTTTAGGCAGAACTGATGGAATTTAAACTGTTTTTAGGCAGAACTGATGGAATTTAAACTGTTTTTAGGCAGAACTGATGGAATTTAAACTGTTTTTAGGCAGAACTGATGGAATTTAAACTGTTTTTAGGCAGAACTGATGGAATTTAAACTGTTTTTAGGCAGAACTGATGGAATTTAAACTGTTTTTAGGCAGAACTGATGGAATTTAAACTGTTTTTAGGCAGAACTGATGGAATTTAAACTGTTTTTAGGCAGAACTGATGGAATTTAAACTGTTTTTAGGCAGAACTGATGGAATTTAAACTGTTTTTAGGCAGAACTGATGGAATTTAAACTGTTTTTAGGCAGAACTGATGGAATTTAAACTGTTTTTAGGCAGAACTGATGGAATTTAAACTGTTTTTAGGCAGAACTGATGGAATTTAAACTGTTTTTAGGCAGAACTGATGGAATTTAAACTGTTTTTAGGCAGAACTGATGGAATTTAAACTGTTTTTAGGCAGAACTGATGGAATTTAAACTGTTTTTAGGCTGAGAAGATCTGGTGAAGCGTGTCTTGCAGGACAGCGTCCATGGCGATGCGATGGAGCGTGTCTTGCGGAAGACTAGGATTATATGCTGGGTCAATTTTCTGATGTTGATGAAGACTAGGATGAGCGACTAGGAGGAGGTGGTGGGTTGTCATCAGGGTTGTGGTTGTTAGGCTTTTTGTTTCCTTTTCATTTTTTTTTATATAAATTTTTTTACATAACATTGTTCAATTAGAGTTAAAGTACTGTCCAGGTGTCAACAAATTAGCTATGGTCAAGAGAAATTGGGCCTACCATGGGGTAGGGGGAGCGGAATGGAGAAAATCTAGGGTGAATCTGAGCCATTGGTTGTCATCGGGGTCGAACACGTGAAGGTAGGAAGGGGAGGATAGGAGCTAATTGGAGAACTTGAAGAGTGAGCGACAGATCATGACTTGACGGAGGGGAAGGCTCGAGAAGATCTGGTGAAGCGTGTCTTGCAGGACAGCGTCCATGGCTATGCGATGGAGTGTGTCTTGCGGAAGACTAGGATTATATGCTGGGTCAATTTTCTGATGTTGATGAAGACTAGGATGACCGACTAGGAGGAGGTGGTGGGTTGTCATCAGGGTTGTGGTTGTTAGGCTTTTTGTTTCCTTTTTCATTTTTTTTATATAAATTTTTTTACATAACATTGTTCAATTAGAGTTAAAGTAGTGTCTAGGTGTCAACAAATTAGCTATGGTACAGAGAAATTGGCCCTAAATGGTCTGAACTCTCTCCTACAGCCTCATCAAACTAATTAGATGAAAGACCAAGAGCCAAAGGTTGCATGAAACGAAGAGCCACAAACTTCCAAACATCACAAAGTCCTTCACAATTTAATGAAATAAAATGAATAAAGTTTTTTTATGAAGTATATGGAGATGTCAAATATCAAACATGGTTTATGTGGCAATTTGGAATAGAATAGCGTTTTATATTCCACCCCACATGTCAAATTAAAATATTATTTTATTACATAGTTTTTATTGGTTTATTACTTTCTAGGTACATTAATTGAAAAGAAATAATAAAATAACATCATAAGACCTAGATTTTTTCGCCCATGGGCTTAAAAGGAGTAGGCCTTCAGAGAAAATGAAGAAGCGTGCTTCAGGCTTAAAGGTGCCACCCATAGTTGGGGCCCATCCAGGACCACCTCGTGGTTCAAACCAAAAAAAAAAAAAAAAGACTTTTGAGCCCACACGAGTGGCCTGAATGAGGAAAGAAGTCGAGGTCTTCAAATCAAGAAAAGGTTTGTCTCACCGAGAGAACAAACAAAGGGAAGCTTGCTTAGTTGGTACTTGCGTTTTGAAAGAATTGAGCTCGACCACAAAAGGAGATAGTCTACTCTTGCAGACCAATTGTTTGCCTCACCCGAGAGAACAAATGGCAAAGGCCAAAATAATTTTGACCACAGAAGTACTTGCCTCACCGAGAGAGCAACAACGGGAGGCCGAACCAAGGTCAGGGATCCACATTTGAAGATGTCAGAATCAACCCAAGGTTACCTTTGCCACCGTCCATTCTAACCAGTCACAAATAAAGCATAGAAAAGAAGCTACAAAATCTTATTAGAGGGGTGTTAGAAGTGCGGTTAGAAAAACTTCCTCGGCCGAGTTTAAATCTCACTTTGTGATCAGGAATAAGCCGAATCCGAATTGAGATTAATCTCACATTTCAAGCGCGGAGAAACTTTATGATATTTACCAAAAAAGAAAATGCGATAAATAAAAAGTATTTTTTTTTGGTAATGTTTGCTAAGCAACAAGATTTCTTTCTCTCTTTTTTTAGTATAAGTGATTGAGAAAATATTTACACAAATATTCATTGAGTACCTGGAATTTCAAACCTCTGATCTCATAGATCTCATAAATAGAGATGGAAGAGATTTCTTACTTTAGATCTTTTGTTTTGTACAACTAAAATATTAATTAAAAGAACGAGTTAACTTTTGTGACGTGGAAGTATCTTTAGAAGCATTTTCTGAACCGTTAATTCTTTAAAAAAATGCCAGTAGCAGCAAGATAAACTTTCCGCATGATGTATGACGTATTTGTTCACGCCTAGCAATGTAACATTGAAGAAACATTTTAAAATTAATAAAAAATTAAAAGTCCAAATTACATCTGCTTTGGGAATTTTGAATATTATAATTATCTTTTGACTAAATTACACTTTTGAGTTCATGTAGTATGTTTGCATTTTCAATTTCATCTCTATAGTTTAAAAAAACCACATCTATACCTTATATTTCAATTTAAGTTGCATCTTTTTCGAGTGTCGGCAGCAGCGGCAAGCCATCCCAATCGCAAGGTATTGATTTCAAAATTCAACTCTATAAATTCACAATTTTCATTTCCAAGTTTTTTTTTTTTTTTTTTTCCTTATGATTTAATAGCAATATTGGAGTTTAAATCTCACTTTGTGATCAGGAATAAGCCGAATCCGAATTGAGATTAATCTCACATTTCAAGCGCGGAGATACCTTATGATATTTACCAAAAAAGAAAATGCGATAAATAAAAAGTCATATTCATTCAGAACATTTTAAATAAAAAGATAAATATGTACAGATTATCTGAATTATAAAAAATGATAAAATGAAAACGAAAGAAAAGCTGGATATCAAGTTACATGTTACATGTACAGCAAGAAAATAAATAAAAAGATCCCCAAAAAAAAAAAGCAAAGAAAATTCAAGCAGAGAAGAAGCCATTGGAGGCCTCAAGACCAATCTGGCTCTTGGGCTCCATAACCCACTTGACAAACTCCATCTTTTCTTGTCCAATCTTCCTGTGGAGGGAGTGAGCCATAACTGAAACGCAGGAAAACAAGTCAGTCTCCAGCTGATGATCTCCTTCAGCAGACCCAGCCTTCCTTGCATTCTTCACCCTCCTCTCATACTCTTCAGCTACCAAAATTGCAATATCTGCCATCTCTCTCTCTCTCCTGTAACTTGCTTTCAAAATGGTTTGCTTTCAAAGTGGTTTGCTTTCAAAATGGTTTTGCACAGACAGAATTTGATGGAGAAGGTGGTTATGTTGGGACAAATATTTATAGGAAGATGAGATGCAGAAGTGGCAGTTAAACAGATGAAGAAGTGGATAAGGATTAGAGGTAAGTGGGCTAACATTCCGACACCTTTACTTTATTTTTATAATGCGGGTGGTGTTGTTGGTTTGGTGGTTTTGAACATGGCTTTACTGGTTCTTCCCTGGTTTGGTTTCCTGTGGACTCTTTTTATATAATATTTTTGCTATTGGGTTCCCACCCACAGGTACCTTTGTGTTGATTGTTTAATGGTAGAGCGCCTGTTTAAATCAAAGCTGAAAGTGAAAGCCTCCTCAACTCTCACCTCTGGAGTGCCAACACCTGTCTCATATATTAATTTAATTCATATGATCTACAACCGACTTCTTTACAATTAAATTATGCAGAAGAATAAAAGTAAATTTTTCGGAAGTATCCAACGCATCACAAATATATATATATATATATTATTAACGTCGTATTCGAAGAAGACAAATACCGCTAAACAAAAACCTAGTTGATTTTGAAAGGGGATTTGTTGACTATTTGAGACAGATTAAATCCATTGCACCGAATATTCGGTGGATTTAAAAGGCATTGATTGAAAAATAATATGGATGTTAAGGAAACCATTGAAAGATAAAACAAGCCTAAAACCATAGGTTAAGGAAACCACACCTCGAACCTTCCTATGTCGGTCTTTGATTCTTCTCTTTTCCATTTCCGTCTTTGGTCAATCTGCTTTGGATTTTTCTTTCGGCCTGCTTTCTATTTTTCAGTCTTTTCCTAGAGGTCACGGTAAGTTATCTGTGTTAGGCTGTTCGGTTATTTAGGCGATGTGTTTTTAGTACTCAAATGCGTGCATATTATTTTGAGGGCTTAATTATAGCAATGGGCTCGGAGCTGTATTTTGGTCTTCGAATTCAAATATTAGCTCATATAGTGCTCAAATTAAGTCTAGCATTGCACGGTCGGTGACAACGGGGTTTGTGTAAGTTTTTCGTGAGTTTTTGTAAGGGTTTGTAGGGTTTCAAAGAACGAGTACCAATTTAAAATCACCCCAAAGTTTAGGGTGTTTAATGTAGTTAACCCTTTTTTTTCTCTCTTGAACAGACTGTTATGCACCATATACCATCTGTTAGGCTAAATCCTGATAATGATAATAATTAAATGAATATAAAAGATTATATTGAAGCACATATAAAGATCAACCTTATCTTTGCCCCGTCATTTGTTTGATTAGAGAAATCATACTTGGTTGAATATTAAACTAACCTTAACAATCTAGGGAGGGCACTGCTTCATCACACCGTCATACAATAGCTATACACATCAGACTTCTTATTGATGTTGCTTTCCCAAAAAAAAAAAATTATACAAATACAAAGATAGCAGAAACGGTGTCATGTTTACTACCAAGGGAATATTCAGTCATTCCCCAAAACTAAGAAATGCAAAAGAGTTGTCTAGTAGCAATTTATGGATCGAAAGCATCATTGATATACATGTTAGTTATTTGATATATCCTATTCTTGATTTCTTACACTAATAGAGAGAGAAGGGGGGGGGGGGGGGGGGGGGGGAGAGAGAGGCAACACTTTTTCACAAATTCACGTACAAAATTTTACAAATATAACTCAACCAGGAAGAAATGACTTTGGGATATTTCCAGAAACCATATACTCATTTTAGATTAAAGCGAATGAGACTCAGAAGCCCATAGCAAAGACTGACCCCACCAAATAGAAAGGCAGTCCATCTCAATATCATGTTATTTTGGTGAATAGTAAGAATACCCCTTCAAATCTATAGCAGGCCAAGCGTTTTCAGCTGCTGAATATGCTCAGGTGGGAGAAGTGGTGGAGACCAATCAGATCCAGTCATCTCACCATCAACATCCTCGACAACATATTCCTACGAGTAAATAAATTTTCAAATAAATATCTGGTAACTTATGCAGTAATGACATGATCCAGAAGCGTTAAAACATCCAGAAATGATAAATTGTTGATCTAGTGTATGCAAAAATCTGTTTAGCCATTCAGTACGGACTTGAGTAAACCCACTAATTCGTCAAAAACAACTCACAGATCCAAGCTAAGTAGAGGACATAAGATCCCAAAGTTAAATGTTTCTTGTTCCGTAAATGGGACAAGAAGACATGATTAACATCTTATAATACAATGGAGGGACCTTGGAAACGCATCTGAATCCAATGGAGGGAACAAGAAGACAAAATGTTTTCTTTCGTGGCCATCTTGGCCGCCACTGTATTTTATTGTTATAAGCAATAAAATTTTGTTTCTTTTTCAAAAAACGAAAAAGGAAAAAAATGCATGTCAGTTGGTAAAGAAAGGACAGCCCCATAGAAGCAGGTAGATTCAAAGTTTAATCATCTTTCGCTTTAGAGAATATATCTGTAACTAAACTATTTCTCATCAATCACATGTTTGATCATGTATGCTTAGTCAGCAAGAGGTGTCGCCTCTACTGAATTCGGCTACAATTTAGGCCCTAGTAGTTAGGACAAAACTTTGTTCAGTTGTTGAGCTTCACTTGTTGACTTAGTGCTCGATAAAATGGTAATTTATAGTGTTGCAGCGTGCAGACAATATAAAAGCATGGCAAAAAAATATTTAATTAAAAAAAAAATGACAGAAGATGTCCCTAACTCACTTTTGTCAGCATCCTTTTTGCAAGTATATGGTAATGCCGCTGCCAAATCCGTTGTCCAACCATTGTAGCTACCAGCACACTGTAGAATATGCCAATCACTGTAAAAAGTCCCAGCACAATCAGAGCCATTATAAAAAGTATTGGCAGCCCTGCTTCACCAGCACCTCCCAAGCAACCGCATTCACCTGCCATACTTGCACAGCTACCCCAGCACGTGGTACAGTCAGTCCACATACAAAGTGTGCCTGGTAAATGACAGTCTGCGCAGACACTGCAGGAATTGTGTAAAAATGAATGACCTTGTAAACACTGATTTCATTAATACACCCTCATTGTCATACGAACCAATGAATGGACATTATCTCCTGCTAAGCAGATAAATGGAGCGGATGGATGTAGCACAAACCATTAAGTATTTGGGTTGTGGTAGATAATACAACATCCAACTCTTCAGGCAGTTAGCCAAAAAAACAAAACAAAGAAACAAACACAAGACTTAAGTTCATGTCATCAGGTGTCAACTCACATTTCCAAACTTCCAGAGAGTTCATATTAATAATAATATAGTATTGAGCAGTAATTAAATAGTTAATGCATCATGTTGTGCATGAACCAAACTCGCCTCCACAATAAGATTTTGAGCACAAAGGAAGAAAGTTGGAAAACGTAATTAATTAAAAAAGTGAATACCTAATACATCATTTGAATCATGATGATAACAAGTAGAAAGTTTGGTCTAAGATAATATGTATGAACCCTATCTGCAGTAAATAGCAAGCCAACAAAAAGTGGTAGGACCATGATTTTTTTATGAAAAAATATGCAAAATAACCATATTAGTATACCGTTGAATATGTCAGGAAAACACATTTCCTGATCTGCCACTGAAGCAGTTAAATGATAAAAGGTAACGGATATGCTTTTGGTCTTAAGAATGCTGGTTTTAATAATGAGTGATTGCCCTTCTCCGACCCTTACTGCCAACCTGAAAGTGGACAGCTAATGCAGTCCACTTATTGAACAGGGTTCTATGGTGTGAAAATTGTCAAAATAAAATTTAATAAGCTTGACAGAAATAGATAACAAAAAAATGTCACAAAATAACACAGTGCTGAATGGACATTCATGCAACAAAATTGTTTTGGCCTCTCAAAGATAAAGGTTGTTGAAAAAATTTCTTCCAAGAGTGCCTTTGGTTTTAATTCGGTGCTATCAATCTATATCATAGAAACACTCCCTTGTAAATATACAGGATTAATTAATCCATTCCATTTAGAGGTGATAATATGATGATAATGATGATCAGGTAAACAGTCAGAAGAATCAAATCATGTGTAGACATGTGTAGCAACTAGGTCAAAGATTTCCAAATGTAGACTTATACCCAGGCTGACAGCAACAAAGGCATAATTCTCGACAAGGCTGAGCCAAATCATTGCGCACTCTTCGGTCGTAACAAGTAATGAAGCACCCAGACAACCCAAGCAAAGCGAAAAACAACAGAGCTCCTGTATTCAACAATAGAAGTACGTAAATTACCAAAACCGAAAAAGCAAAGATGTATTACTGCAGAGAACAAAGGAGCAAGCATGTGCCCTAACATTAGAGTAAATTTATATTACAAAGTTTTAATCAACTAATTCCCAAGCAAAAAAACTGAAAATTTATAACAAGCAGCTACAGCCAAGATTTCATCATTGTCAAAGGAAACATAAATTTTCTTGATTTTCAACCATAAGAAATAAAAATATCTCCACCAGCAACCACTTAAAACAAGGTACTACTTGTACTCAAAGTTAGCAATGACACTCCACCCAAAGAAATTTCTACTACAAGAAGATGAGAGTTTCCACAAGGATTGGAGAAACAGAGTAAAATGTAAAAATAATATACATAACGCAGACAACAAGTTGTAAGAGATAAATACAAATCATTAAAGAAAAATTTATCTAATTATACATAATTGTAACTATCTTCAAATTGTTGTTATTTTGTGCAAAATAATAAAGTGCCAATGTGATTATCTAACAACATGGTGTTCATCATGATCTTCCATAACAAATCTGTAACCCAGTCACACTAATGAATAAATCTACTTTCCCTTCAGTTTGCGCCTTCCTCCACTCAGTACACCATGCAGGTCACCTCCCTCTCTGATTTTTTACCGTTTTATTCTTTGGGGTAAAGGATTATCTGGTTTCAACATAGCTACAGAAAGTATTACTAGACTGTATTTCCACATCCTTATTATATATTTCCTAAACTTTGACCGTCGTAAACTGCTTCTTTAATTTCAGAAAGGTGACAAACACAAACTTATTTCATAAACAGTCGACCATGATAAGATCATGACTTTGGCGAAACCACCTTATCAGAATTCTGAAAACATAAAAGCAAGTGAAACAAACCCATGTGCTCGCTTGGGAACTAAAAATATTCACCACTTCCATACATAAATGGCAATTCTTTCAATCAGCATCCTTCAACACATAAAAACAATAAGTTCCAAAGAATCCAGCTGGTTAATTTTTAAAAGCCATATCCAGTCTCCATTTTTTCCACCACCTATTTTACTGATCAATTAGACATCTTAAAATGTAATGATCTTATTTCCAAACTTATCTAATATGACCAGGCCTTGATCAGTGTTTAAATACCCAAACAGGACCCACTGATTCTATGGCCCTCACTGGTCTAATACTGGTAGCAATACTGTAGTGGGCCATGAGGTCCAAAAGTTCTTATAAAAATTGAACCACGACCTCGCTAACAGGTATGTTAGAACCCAGGACCACTAAGTGGTAGCAACACAGAGGTCCCTGCCATGGCAATTAAGGATAGAGTTGAAAACAAAAACAAAAATTTGATACATTTTTACCCTCCTGAAAACATGATGTAAGGATACATACATGCATATACAGACCAATATATATTCTTTATTCTTCTTATTCTTTCTCTTTTCTAACTAGCTTACTTGCTTACTGGGTCATTCACATGCTGACTCAATAGCATGTTACTAAATCTTCATATTTTTTATTTTTGACTATGTCATTTTCAATTTAATTTTTAATTAAATAAGGACATGGAAAATGAACCAAAGATGTTTTAAAAGTGTAAAATAAGTGTATTAACGCAATCAAATCTAAATATCTAACAGTATCTTAGAAGTGTGATCTTCCTGTTTTTCTTTTGCTGGACAATCTGATGAACATAAGAATCTCAAAAACCTTTATCACAATCACAGTGATAAAGTTCTGAGCAGACATCAGTCACCAAACAGAGGGAATTCGGGCTAAGATGCCATGCATATAATACCACAACAAATATATGGTAACCAACACGGGCAACAAGACACACGTATAACAACATTGAATACTATTTATTTTTCTAGTACAAGCATTCAGATAAGAACTTGAGGTTTTACCAGATATATAGTAGAAACTAAGCTCACTGTCAAAACCCCATGCAAGACGAAGCCAGAATTGCTGGAAACCATCTATTAGATACACCAAATATGCCAATGAAGCAATCACCTGCATAAATTAATAGAAATGTTTCAAAATGCACATCCAATGCCAGCTATCAAAGTGAAGAAAGCAACTAAAGTAAATTACTAATGACCTACAAGCTGAACAGCCAGAAATATAAAAATAATGTCTCTAGTGACAAAGAATCGGAATTTCAAGGTTCGCCATTTTCTATCAGCAATAACATGAACTCTCAAATGGTAAGGAGCCTTGCAGGTTGTGCAATGAGCAAATGCAAACCCTTCCTGAAAAAATTAAAGCAAGATAGTCAGATACAGATGGGAAACCACTAACGAGCAGCAAAACCTGAACATGTGTATATATGCTGTTAGTTTGTCTTAATCAGCTAAATCCTACACCTTATTCAAAGACCATTAAAAGCCCATTTCTGAGTTCTCCAAAGATGACCTTACTGCAATACACTAAAAGTCTAAAACTTAGTGAATTAGTCGCGTTACAAGGAAAGAAAAACTAATTTGCTACCTGTTCCTACACCTGCGAGACACACTGTCGTAAATATCCTCTTAACACAACAGGGGATAAACGAATCATGACATTGCAACCCATCAATATGTCGATTCCATTTCATTATGCTAGAGACATTGGTGTTGAAGGAACTTCACTTCAATAAACTTCATTTCATATTTTAACTGCAACAAGCACATTTTAATGTGCATAAATGACACATCATTCTAGATTCCAAATAGCAACTATGTGCATTCTGATTTTTTTATAATTTACAAAGAAATTTTTTTTCTTTTCTTTTTGTAAAAGAAACAAATGCACAGACACGATTCTCTCTCTGTCTCTCTCAATAAATTCAAATTACACCCATGCTATAAGTTCAAACATAAGGACATCACCTTAGAATCAAGGGGATGGTTAGATGACAGCGAACACAGGATTTCAGAATCACTCTGTCTCTCTCAATAAATTCAAGTTACACCAATACTAGAAGTTCAAAGACAAGGACAGTGTCCCAGAATCAAAAGGGATAGTTAGATGACAGCTAAAAGTGGGTTTTAGTGAATTCCAGAACATCCCATACACCATGGCTTTGTTTAGTAATAACAGCAAGAAGCAATCAGAAACGATATAGTAGATGGATGGGATCACCAAGCTTGCATGCCAAACTATAATAGTATACATTACTAATTTTGGAAAAGAAAAAGAAGCAAAAATATAGATGGCAACCAAACCTTTACAGCTCTCCAATGATCCAAACATTCCCGGTGAACATACTTTGAAGTCCCTTTGCATTTGCAAGGAGCAATGAAGTCCCTACCTGAGTGAAAAATAGAAAGCAAAAAACCCACTGATAAGCTACATTACTTTACTAAACACTTAGCATTTAAAAGGAACAAAATAAGTACAACTTTACACTTTTACCCTAAAATTAACAATAAATTTTAACTATGTACATGAACCATCACTCTGAAAAGCGTTCTGTAACATTGCCATTTGCAAGACTAATTGGTTAGTTGACTTGAAAAGAGAAATGACAATTTTCCAAAATCCATGCAAACAGAAATACATGAACTCAAATTTACAAATTCTACACTCCTCCTTAATCTTTTTATCAGACACCAAACACCCAATTGAGCGAATTGTCAAAACCCAATAAAACAAAAGTAAATTGGATGAGACATACCATCACTTTCAAGGCAAATTCGGCATTGGATTTGTTCACCAGGGCCCGCTTCCAGGTCGATCTCGCTGGGCTCGGCGACCGGCGCCGGAGCGATGAGAGGCGAAGCGTCCGAGTGATCCACCATTGAATTACGAGCGAGTGAACCAAACAGTGAAATTGCTCAGGGGTTTAGATTTAGAGAAATGGGACTTTTAATTTCGAATGATTGCATTAAGCAAAAAACCTAATTCCCCCAATTCTACCTCTGTTACTCGTTTGTTGAATGGTCTTATGACAACTGGGGGAAACAAAAAGAAAAGAGCAGAAGCAAAAAGTCTGTGTCTGTGAATGGTGGTCCTAGTTTGGTGCGCTTCCTTCTTCTTCAATTTTTCATTTTTTTATTTTGAAGGAGGGTTCATCATTTGGTCCGCCGTGCACTCGGGTTAAAGTGAGTAGCCCGAAGCTCGACAGGCTGAAGTCTAACTCGACCCATTTTTAAATTATAAATTTATAAATAAACCCAATCCTAGACATGTATTTATAAACCTCCATTTTGGGTGTTTTAGTGAAACTCCCTTTTTAAATTGGGTCGGATTTGAGCTTACGATTTGAAACTCTCGGCCCACCCGCCTATGCCCTTATTTTTTGAAAGTTTTAATTGATGCACTCCCAAACCTCATTTTATACTTAATTAAAATAATGTAATATGTATAATAAACTAATAAACTTTTTATTTTACTTACATATGTTATAAATTAAGTTAATTTTTCAATGTTGTCTAAAATTTTGTAACAAAGCAATATATACACTATATCTTTTAGTGCCCCTTTTTTTTTCAAGTTCAATTTTAATGATTCAATAAAGAATTTGAAAGCTTATTTTGGTTTTATTAATTCTAATGGCAAAAATTGCTTAAATTTTCATGATGTCAATCCTAGTTTAGGATAGAAGTAACACATTTTCATAATATTCATTTTTAGGTATAATATTTTTTAAATTTATTGGCTATTGCTTGGTCTAGGTTTAATAAAAGAATTTGGCTATTATATTTTTGTTTTTTTTTAAGTTATGTAGTAATCTTTACTATTGTTTAAGAGAAGACTCTTTATCCATTAATTATGACAACAACAAAAAAAGGTGTAAAAAAAAAAGATTTAAAAGACTTAGAAAAAAAAAATTAAATAGCTCGACCTGTTTAGGCCCATGGTGGCGCCCGTTAGGCCCATTAAGCATATCTAGGCCTGGCTCGATGGGCGAGCCCAGGCTAAGCCCTTTGAAACCTCATCCCAACTTGGAAAAAAAAATCCTTAAAGCTCGACCCCAACCCAAAAATTTCGATCTAGGCACAGTGACGAACCCCAAGACCATAGCTCTATACGATATAAATTGTGATAAATACCAAAATTGTCCATTTGTTTACTCAGTTCATCAATTAACTTTAAGTATAGGTGCAGTTCAGTTTGGATCGCTACACTCTCGAATTGTATTATTGTTGTTATGCCATGATCCATGTTTGTTGACTAGGATTGGATTTGATAACTTACTATATTTAAGACATGTTGAGTGAGGAAATGAAGAAATGTTGTCCAAGTTGAAGGTAGAAGAGGGATCACTCATGAAGGAATCTTATCTCATGCCATCCACTCAAATAATAGGATAACAACACTTCATAAGTTATCCCTTCTAATCCCCTCAAAATGAAAAATCCTTAACATCTACCAGCATTTCCTCTTCCAACGTAACTTAAGAATTATCCAATCCAATACTAGTCATGAAACATTACATATTGCAAATTGTGAAATGATATAAATATATGGGTCGGCTTCCGCCCAATTTAATTCCCTCTCATTTCATTAAAGGACATATTGGTCCTTTTGCTCCTTGGTAGCCCCAAGTGGCATGCTCTTCAAATTGTGAAATGATATAAATAAATGGGTCGGCTTCCGCCCAATTTAATTCCCTCTCATTTCATTAAAGGACAGATTGGTCCTTTTGCTCCTTGGTAGCCCCAAGTGGCATGCTCTGGGCTATGAAGTGAATTTATGGATCCATAATGTAATGCCTTTTTTGGTAAGAAAGGAAGTCAAATATAAGAGCATGTGAATGAGTTGTTAGTGTCTAGTCTGATCATCGTTGGTCTAGGCTAGACGTCGATTTTCAAAGATAAATGTGGAGGGTTTTTTAGTGTGTTAGTGTTGACTGCTTTGCATGGAATGGGGAAGAAGAAATGGTTGGGTAGTGGGAACGGTTTTGGCATCGTGGATGTGTAATTTTGGGCATGGGTTTAGGATAATCGTACAAAGGTATGGGAACCAAACAAAGAAAAAACCCTAAACAATAAAAAAGATAAACAAGCCACCTTCGAAACTACCTTTAGTGCAATCCAGTGCATGCAGGTGAAAATTCGTCTCGATAGACGTATGAATTAAAAAAGTGAGTCCAGTTAAGCAAGAAAACATGTTCCAAGTTAATTATGTAAAGTTATGGGGAAGACTGATTGAGCATAAAGCAAGTGAAAAGACCATCAATCATGCAGAATATCCCTCCATTCTCATTATGTATACACAAGTTCAATAAATTCCGTATCGAAAGAATATGAAAACTTATTGAAGCTAAAATACATAAACAACACATGTTTGTCTTTAAAACCAAGTTTATGAAAGCCCTTAACCAATTGGTCGTATTTAAAGAAAGCATAAATAAGCATAGAAAGAGCAAGAGCAACATTAGTGAGTAAATAGATACCTCATCTAGTAAACTTTGACCTATGGCAGGTAAATAAATACCTAAATTTTTCAATAGTATAAACCATAACTGGTACATGTTATAATGTTGCTACGTACAACTCTATATGCGCATATACATACAAAGATACACAAGAACATACATTTTAGGTAGAATTCATGTTTGATTGTGGAAATAAAATAATCATATGATAAGTCTTATACCAGTCCACTTTGAGTTAGTATGCACGCATGTAGTTTCCATTGCTTGTCACATTAAGCCTCTACTTCTAGCACTTTCTTCTTCTTCTTTTTCCCTCGTTCCTTCTTATGTGTCCTCAACCTCTGCCTCTGGTGCCTTCTTCCTCTTCTTGCTTGGTTCATCTTTCTATATATTCTCCAGTGCAGTTGTACCATCCCTTTGTCAATCCCAAATTGTAACTTGTGTTTGAAAAGAAAACCAAAATACAAAACAAAAATCAAATAGACTTACATGTCCCAGGTGCATTTTATAAGTAGGGTGGTGAAGCTCAATTTCATTTCATAGGTATAATTACAAGAATCTATGGAGATGGGGATGGTGTTCTAGGCAACAATCTCATCACCAAAGGCATTTTTGGTAAAATATAACGGCCTCCTAGATCTAGACACTAGATACACATAGCTTCCCTATATCCATAATAGAGATTTGGAAGAATCTAGAAATAGAGAGGATTATTTTGGAAAAAGATGTAGTAGAGAGAATTGGAGAATAGACTGTTTTGAAAACATGTGGGTGTTTATATAGAGGAGATTTGAATTGTAATTGAATTAAATGCGGCATATTTGAAATCTTTTATAATTGAATTAGTTGGTGGGAGATTTGAATTGTGTCTGAAATTGAATTCGGAGGTGGGTGTCATCAAGGTTTCTCTCTCTCTCAACTTACCTAATGTGATTAGACCAATTGACGACAATAGAGCCTTGAGCCTTTCCTCTCAAGGGGATGGTTCCGTATACCGTGTGCCTCCTTTAATGGGTAACCTAGTTGTCTTCTATTAGTTGAGATTGGGCCTTTAGTTTGTAGCTTTCCCCTTTTGTAAGTTCTTTCTCTTATACCCAAATGGTAGTTTTTTTATGGCTCTATCTTTTTGGTACATTTCCCTCCTTTTCTGCTGGTCCTTATTAGCTCATTTTCTCATTCATGTTTCTCTATACCTTAGGCCTTTTGTCCCTTGATATCCTGGTCATGTGTGGTCCTCACCATGAGCTCTGCTAATTCTCTTACCTCTCAGCTTGATGACTATTTAAGACTTGATCAGGCCTGTTCAGATGTTGTGTTGGTGGGAGTAATTATTGCATATGTTACTCCTAATATTGGGAGTATAAAAGGGCTTTACGTCTACATAGGATCGATTTGGGAGTCTTATGATAGCACACTATAAGAAGAATATCTTCACTATCGCCACATCTAGTGAGGGTGGTCTTTGGAATATCATGAACTATTGCTTCAATGTGGTGGTCTGGTCTTCAAACCTCATGATTGAGGAAGTCTAAGACCATTTGGTACTCTATTGAGTTCAAGTTTCAACTTTTACTCTTAAAAATATGAACTTGGCAAATGCAAAGATGATTGGGACAAGATTGGAAAGGTTATTGATGTGGAAGATCACATGACCCGCAAGGCCATCTTGAGTAGATATCTCAGAGTGAAGGTTGTCATTGATTCCCTCAAGCCTTTTCCAACGCGATTATGGCTTCCAATATTTTCTCACCAATCTGTTCGAGTGGAATATTTTTATGAGAGACTAAATGACTTATGCTACATATGTGGAAAATTAGGCCATTGTGAATAAAGAAATGACATTCTCTCCCCCATCTCAATTGGGAAGTGAACGGCAGTCAAGAGCTAGCCAATGTCATCCTTCGGCTTCCGATTTCCGATATGAGGTTCTAGTTAACTCATCCATATGGGACAAACATGCAATTTCTTCTTATGTCATTTAAACAGCGTTGGAGCATGACTAGTATTTATCCTCGACAGAAACTTCGAATTTGACACCCCTGCAAGGTCCAGCAATCCCTGCTCTGTATGGGACAAACATGCAATTTCTTCTTATGTCATTTAAACAGCGTTGGAGCATGACTAGTATTTATCCTCGACAGAAAATTCGAATTTGACACCCCTGCAAGGTCCAGCAATCCCTGCTCTCTTATATGCTCCTCTAAATTGTTTGTTGCGTGCTTGGCTCTCGAGAGAGGTCTTTATCCACTAAGTTCCCCAGTTCTAATACTTTTGATTGGGCTATGACTCATGCCATACCTCATAGGAATTGTAACTCATATACGGAATTGTAATTCTCTTGTAAACCTATTATTTATTTTGTGCTTATATATAATGTCTTTGTTGCAATAAGATGGCAGATAAGAATATTAACTTCACCACAATTGAAAATGTTGCAAGTGGATCCCGAAAATTGCCAGCATTGTGGAATACTCAAACTATAGCTATCTTCATTGACCTTTGTATCAAGGAGGTGGATCTATGCAATCGTTCCAGTATTCACTTTCATAAAGTTGGATGGGCAAGGTTGGTTACAAATATTAGTAAAGAGATAGGAAGATCATATGAAAAATTACAATTGAAAATCAAGTGGGATTTACTTAAAAAAGAAAGGAAATTATGGAAAGATCTAAAAGGAAATGAAACAGGTCTTGGGTGGAATGTCGCTAAGAATACTGTTGATGCATCTGAGGAATGGTGGCAAGATAAAATTCAGGTATTTGAATTTTTTGTTCTTGTTTTAATATCCATTTTTTTAAAATATAACTATGTTTAAAAATTCATTATAATATTTATATATGTCATAATGTAGGCAGAATCCAAATATGAAATATTCCAATTTAAGGGTATTAGTCCTGAGATGGAGGAGAAGTTAGATATGATGTTTTTGAACGTCACAGCCACTGGTAAGCATTCTTGGGCACCTTCATCTGGTGTACTTCCAATTGAAAGTGATGATTATGTCAACCACTTGAAGTTAACGATGATTCGAATGAGTTTGTGTCAATTGAAACCACTCAAACTACAAACAATGTGCCAAGAAAGAGAACTAATCAATCACTTGAAATTCAAGATAATAATTAGACAAAAGGTAAATGAGGGGAGAAAATAGGAGGTGCTGCAAAATTATCATTGCAAATTGAACGTCTTGTTGAGGTGGTTGAGAGTAGGAGAACTAGAACATCAATGGCTAATATAGTTTCACAAGAAACTAGTATTGTTGAAGTGATGAAAGATGTTGCAACTTTACCTGGGACAGAGTGTTGTAGCAAGTTGTGGTGGTTTGCAACTAAATTGTTTTGTACTCAAGAAAAGATAGAAATGTTTGTTGTCATGGAAGATCCTAACCTCAAGCTTCAATTTCTTAATCATGAGTTAACTGAAGGCTAGAATTTGATAGTTTAGTGACTTTAATTTATGTTTTGTTGTTGTGTTGTTAATTTATTTGAATTTGTGATTGATATTTGAATTAATGTCGGATGATCATTTATTTGAATTTGTAAGTAATATTTTAATTCTTGTCATTATATTTTATGTTATATACACATGCATGCGCAATTAAAATATTATTTGAAGGAAATAAACACATTTGTAGGTTTTTTTAGAACATGACTATTCCAAAAGATAAGGAGGAGATCAACCAAATTATATGCGTCATTGCCCATTTTATTGAATTTTATTACGTGAAATATATTCATATGACCCCGTATATGAATGACAATCATACAAGAAATATTTGGTTGATGGGAGTGTTACAAGGAAATGAAAGTCATTTCTATAACATGTTTAGGATGGACAAAGATGTACTTAAAAAATTGTGTGATGAATTGCAAAACAATTATGGTTCACAATTTCTAAGAAAACCCCACCATCTTCCCAAACTACCATCAAATTAAGTATTAATTTACACACACCCCACTTAGTCCTCAAATTGATCTAATAACTTATTAAGTTCCTATTTCGTCAGTTTTGTAGTTTGCCCAATTCAATTACAAAAGAACCCACCTTTACAAACCCCACAATTTTTGGGAAATTTGGAAAATAGGAATTGGAACCCACCTCCTATACCCCAAAGAACAATTCCTGAACCCAAAGGGCAGGACCTTGATTTTGTTAATGTTGCAAACAACCATCTAATTCACTCTAACTGGGCTAAGCTCAATTCCTTGTCCAATGGTCAAATTGCTTTCAGAGTGAAACATATAGTGCTAAAGATTTAAGCAGGACTATGTTCTTTCCCTTGAGTTTTTCAATTGGGTTGCAGCTCAAAACCCTCGTTAAGTGACGTGGAAGCTCCGTGTCCAGCAAATTGGGGTGTTTCCCAATTTCCCAAAACTTAAATCAATTCACCAACCAAAACCCTCAAATCCCAATTTTTCATTGTTTAAGCAACTGGACCATGACTTAATATTAGCTGGTGACAGTCCTTTGGATTTGATGGACAAGGAGATGGGGAGTAGGAGGGGTGGTGTGCAGTGGGATATTGAGCCATGCACATGGCGGAGCCACAGTGGGGTCATTGTGGTGGCACGACCTTTTGGAAGCCATGAAAATAAGCTTAGAGATCCCTTAGAGCTGCTGGTGCAACCTCTTGGAGCTGCACACCAAGTGGTCGACAAAATAACTGAAAGAAGGAAAGGTTTGCAATTGGAGAAGAAGGTTGCACACAGTACTTTTTTTTTTTTTAAAAAAAAACCTGGGCAAAACGATGTCGTTTTGGGCCAGGTCTGAAACCAAAAAAAAAAAAAAAAAAAAGGCCAGCGTATCCTACTCTCCACAGCATCGATTCCTCCATTCGAAACCCCAAATTTTTTTTGTTTTCTCCTCCAAACCCTAAGTTCCCAACTCCCCCAAACCCTCAACTCCATCTCCTCCCTTGCTGTCGCCACTAGGGGTGCCTTTGTGATTTATTTGGACTTTTACACTAAAACCCCCTGTGTTAAGATTTCTGGCTCCGCCACTAGCCATGCACTTAAACTCATTTCTAATGGGGTGTGTATATAAATGTATTAGGATTAAATATTAAGTATTAGGGTGAACAAAAGAAGTGTGGGGTTTAAATCGAAAAACTCATAAATAAATTAACACCCTTATTCTAAAAACCGAGGGACTCTTTGTACCTTTCAAAACGCACACAACACAGCAATAACATCGTTCGCAGTCTTCTTCCGAGCCAAAAAACCCTGCTTTGCTCCTCTGCTCTGACTCTGTGGGTGGCTGTGGCTCCAATGGCGAAGATCACAAAAACGAAGAAGCGCAGGCTCATCAAAACATCCGACAAAACCATTGAGAAAAAACTCAAAACCCAAAACCCCAAGCAAAAATTAGAAGAAAAAGAAGAAAGAGAAGAAGAGCACCCTAACCCTAACCAGAAACAACCCCAATCCGATTCCGATTCCGGTTCCGTCTCAGACTCAGACTCAGACTCGTCCGAGTCCGACGTAGAGAACCTCCCTGAACTACTCCAAGCCTACACCAAGGACCAGCTAATCGAGCTCATCGTCGAAGCGGCCTCCAAGGACTCGGCCCTCTTCAACCGCATTCGGGACGCTGCAGACGGCGACGTTTCGCATCGAAAGATCTTCATCCACGGCCTCGGCTGGGACACCACGCGCGAAACCCTTGTCGCTGCCTTCGAATCCTTTGGCGAGATCGAGGAATGCAATTTGGTGTTGGACAAAGCCACGGGCAAGGCCAAAGGCTATGGCTTCGTCCTCTTCAAAAAGCGCCGTGGAGCTGCCAAGGCGTTGAAGAACCCTAAAAAGAACATCAGCAATAGAATCGCTTCCTGTCAATTGGCCTCGGTGGGTCCGGCCAACAACAACAACACGACGACTTCTTCGTCGTCGTTTAACGCTCAATCGGACTCGGCATCGAGAAAAATATACGTGAGCAGCGTGCCGCATGATGTTGATGGTGAGAAATTGAGAATTTTTTTTGCTAAATTTGGGGAAATCGAAACTGGGCCAATGGGTTTCGATTCGCAGACCGGAAAATGCAAGGGTTTCGCTCTGTTCCTGTACAAGACTGTGGAGGGTGCGAAGAAGGCTCTTGAAGAACCCTTCAAGGTGTTTGAAGGGCACCAATTGCAATGCCAGAAGGCGGCCGAAGGTTCCAAGAACAAGAACTCAGCTGTGGCGCCCCCGCAAGGGCAAATGCAGCAGCCGACACTGGCTGCTGTGGCAGCAGCGCAGAATATGGCTTTGTTCGGTCAGCATCCGAACGTTAACCCATTGTACGGTGGATTAATGGGCAATGTGGGTGGTGGGTTTGTTCCTGGGTCTGCTAACCCGGGTATGGTGGCCCGAGCATTGAACCCGGGTATAATGGGAGGGGCATTGAACCCAAGTGTTATTCCGGTAAGCCAAGTGGGCCAGGTGGGTGCTGGTGTTGGTGGGTACAATGGAGGGTCTCATGGGTTGGTCAATTTAGGTGGAGGGTCTCATGGGTTGCTCAGTTTGGGTGGAGGATCTCATGTGAGTAACCCCTCATTGCTTGGTGCATATGGGACGAGTGGGTCTCTTCCTATGCTCCAGGGTCTGCAGCACGAGCAGCCGGGTTCTGGTAGGCCTCAGAGGGCTAGTGGGTCATTCGCTGGGTATACATCATATATGTGGTATGCCATATTGCAATTACATTTCTCATGTCCTAGTGTTCTCCATCTTGCTTTTTATGCATATTCAGTTTTAGTTTTTGGTAGTTTTGTGGTAAAATTTGTTTTGCACGATGGTTTATATGGATTTAAAATGTCTAATTTGGTTACAAGTACTTGTTATTTGACTCTTTCTCAAATATCGAGCGTTTGCTTTGTGGGAACTGAATCAATTTTTCTGTATGCATGTAACTCACTGAGATTTTATGAGTTTCATAATCTGCATAGGTTGTTATGAAAGGAGAATTTCAAGATGAGAATTTGTATGTTATCTATTGAAAGTAGATAGTTTTGGTGAGCTTAAATAAATTCAGCATACAGGAAGTAAGCCAAAAACAGGTTAGAATGGTTGGGTAACAGACATTACTGTTTCAGTTTGTTATGGTATGCAGAATAAAGACCTCGTCCTTCTAAGTCTCTGAAGAACAATTTTTTATATACAAAACCTGAATGCACATAGACAACTGATAAGGTGCTTAAAATTTTATGTTATTGGGTGAAAGCAGATGATTTTGGTGAGCTTAATCAATTTCAGCATAGAGAAAGTAAGCCGAGAACAGATTACCATAAAAGAGGCTCTAGAACTCCTTAAATAGATGTAACTGTTTGGTATGGTAAACAAAAGAGAGAAGGTCATTTTTCTTCTGAGTCTCCGAGGCATATTGTTTATGTTCTTTATTCGCGGTTAGAGTATGTGAAGTCTAAGGGTTTACTGTTTTTGTTCTGCAATAAGCCTTGCTGCTTTGCATGTTGCTTCTTCGCCAGTTTCCATGATAGTTCTTTTCTTGGAAGTTTGGTTTTCTGTTGCTAGTTATTTCCTATCCCACTTATGTGGTCTCAGGTTCTTTTTTTTTTGGCTTCCAGCTGGATTATGAACCTTTGTTTATTTATATTATTTTATTATATTTTACTTCTTTCTGCTGGGTTCATGAGTTTGAATTTTATCAAACCTTTGGACTAAGTTATATTCATTTGAGTACTGTATCAGTCTAAGATGTACTGTTTTGTTGTAAACTTCTGTGAATACATGAAACTAAGCATTTGTGAATTCACACACGTAGCTCATTTATGGATTAATTTAATTCTAGTAAAATATGATTTTAAGATTCTTAAAGACTCTTCTTCCTACATTAAATTGATTGAGATAATCATCCTCGTACTTTCATCAGAGGATGACATAACATTGTATGTAAGAATCCAACCTTTTCATGCGCGCACAATATTCGTTGATCAGATTTATTAGAATTTCTTACTTGTTTTTTAAATATCAGATACTTATTAGTGCAATGAGAATTTACAGAATTTATACAGAAGTTTGGGGTTATTCGGTCGGACTCATGACATTTTTTATAGCGTTTCCCAAATTTCCCCAAATGATTTTCTCTTTGAATATTTCTTTTCACGTATTTATAATATTACTAACTAACGACGGTATCTTTAGTATTTTGTATTTTATGAATAAAAATGTTTAAAAGTTTTTTAAGTTTTTAATTCCCTCCTGGATAATTTCCATTTCAATTTTCAATTCTCTTCTGTTTTTTTTTTTTTTTTTTTTTTTTGGTAAACGGGCTAAAGTGTTTACTATCTTTAACTTCATTTAGGAAATCTGTTTTGTAAACTTGTGCAGTTTGTTACTCTAACATTAACCAGCCACTTTTCTTTTTGGTGGTTTACTATACTATATTAAATGTGTACCTTCTCCTTAGTTTCTTTTGCCATTTGAATCTAATATTATGTTCACTGAATCCTTGTATTTATACCATCATGATGCCATGGCTCATAATTTTTGTAACAGGGATCACTTGGACATATGTTTTAACTTCTTTGAGCATGAATGTTTTTCTCACTTTTTTCAGTTAAAAAAAAATATATATTTAAAGCTTTAATTGTTTTGACGGTTTGGGGATGATAATTCCTTTGAAAGGGAGATTGTTGTGTTTCTTGGCATTACATTCTTGGGCTGTATGTTTGCAGAGTAAGTGTCGCTGAACATCAGGAAGGATGATCATGTCTCTAAGGAATATTTATCTTAAAGCTTGCTTTGGATTGAACACTTTTTCGGGAAGTTTTTCTTTTGGAAGACTTTGTATTTTAATTTTCTCATGGTCCATAACTTCAAATTTGGCCAAGCTCGACAGCAACTTGGTGGACGTTCCTTTTTTGTATTTTTTTTTAATGTTTTAATTCATCACATCTTTGACATCCTTTATTTTGTAAGAATTGACAACATCCAGTTTCACTTTAATGTTCAGTTTCTTTTTCTTTTTCAGTGACTATTCTTTCGTGTTTCACCCCATTTCCTGCCTTTTCCCCATTTTTATAATATATTATTTGCTTATTAGTCTATTGTGATTTTTATTTGTTATTATCAGTTTGATATTTGATCTTTGTTTTATCTTTATTCCTTCCCTTCATTTCTATTTTTGGTTTCTTTTTCTTTTCTTAGATCAATCTATTCTATCCCCATGTAATGGTTTTTAGTTTTCACATTAAGATCACTCCTCTTAGCTTATGACCTTTTGAGGAATTGTGTTAATTCCTTGTTATGGGAAACATTGTTTTGTTTGGTTAAACTGTTTCAAATATATTGAAAGTTTACTTAATTTGCTAGTTTTGAAATTATGATACGAGATAGCTATTTCAACATTTTAGTTACCTGTAGCTAGTTGAGGAGGTCTTATTATCATAAATAAGCAAAAGGCTGGCTAACTGCTTGTAAGGTTTTTTTCTATCTTCTTCTTACACCAAGTTGTAGCGGCAGCCTCTTGCCTGAAATACATATTTTAGGTAAGAGGCCTTTTGTTCCCCCTATGTTTTGTTTATTTTCATTTTTTTTCATTCATGCCTGGAGGTTTAAGGGCTGCATAGAAATGTAGGTCTGGGGATTCACAGAGTCTTTAGTATATTAACAGGTCCGTGTATTAAATTTTATAAAATAAAAGTATGTACTTATAGTGTGTATGTCTATTTTTTAAGAATACGATCGGAGTCATAGTTCTGCTATCATCCCATTCTAAAGTATTATTTCATCTTTCATGTGAATATTCAACCCTGCAAAGTCAGAGATATTTGGATAGCAGGAAAATTGGAGAACCTTTTTTTTTTCATAAATTTAAAATTAAGCCTCCATTATTTCGTTTTCAATGCTTTTGATGCATTCATATTTTAACCCTCTATGAGCTTTGGTTTGGAATTTGAATTACTGGTTTTCTGGATGTTACTTTCTCTTCATTGTACTTTTTGAATGATTTTTCTCCTAGTTCTTGTTTCTAGATTTTGCTTAATGATTTCTTCATCTCTCTTTTCTTCTCAGCCCTGTTCACAGATAAAAGAAATAATTAATGAGCAATTCAGGCAATATGCCTTATGCATTCATTATTTCTTTTCAAAGGGTTCTACTGAAACGAATCTGAAATTATACTAATTGGTTTTTAATAATAAGTTTAGTGAGTGATTAGGTTAATTGTGGCCCCTTCTAGAGTTCTGGAAGAGTATTCCTGTATGTAAAGGCATAGTAAGATAGATGAGCAGCTTGTTTCTCGAAACATCTTTCAGTTGGCTAAAGAAACTATTTCGTCTAATGGCATTATCAAGGCACGTGAATAAGCATGAGAATGTTGTATGCCACAAGAATTTTAGGTACCTGTACGATACCAGTTGGGAAAAGATTCTTTAGTTTTTCGGAAAATTTTTATGACATTCCCTCAGTTGGATTGTTGTCTACAGGAGGTAAATTTCATGTTGAGTTCAGTCGTGATTTTAGAGAGAGTTGATTTTTGTTGAGGTATGTTGATAAATGACAATTGAAAAGGATATATGATTTGCACAAGTTTTCCCTCATCTATTAAGTGAACTGTGTAGCAGGCTAACAGCTAGCTCTATGAGAGGAATTTATTGAGTTCACCTTCACTGGCTAGCAAGCCAACTTGATCTTGCTAATGGCCGAAGCTTCAAGGTTGTACTTGTAATAAATTTGTTGGTTGCTTACATTTAGAATTTGGCTTTCTTACACGAAGTAAGAGGCTTCATAAAATTGGCTTTCGTATCATATCCGTGGTATTCTCATAAATAGCAAGCTTATTGCTTGCTTTCGGTGCATTGAGGGTTGACCATCCAATTATGGGAAGGGGAATTAGTAAGAAAGATTGTATGGAGGATGCCTTCCTGGTTTGTGGGACCTTACCTTGCCCTTCAGGCTTCATCTAAGACTGGAGTACGTACGCGTAAGGTAGGACTAAAAGTGTCAAATGGGCCGGATGGGCTTTGGGCTGTGCTCAGGCTAGGCCAAGCCCATCTTTTATGCAAATCATTAAGTCGGACCTAAGTCCAGAATCCTAACCCATATAAGGTCGGTCCGATATGAGTAGCAAACAATTTTCCAATTATGTCCAAGCATCCATGACGCTGTTAATATGCCTTCAAGTAGAGGTGTCAAGTGGGTCGAGTCAAGCCAGTTTGAAGTTGGCCTTACCAGGGGCAAAACCCAACCATTTATGAAAATCATTAAGTCCAGCTCGAGTCTGTGGCCCTAACCCATATAGGGATTGGTTGGGCTTATACGGGCCCACACCAAGCTTGACTTTTGTATTTCATGTTTTGTAAATTTCTTTTTTGACAATTTCATTTCAATATTTTTAACTATTATGTATATATAAACAAGATTTCTTATTTTTTGGAAAAAGAAACCAATGACTCTCTGTATTTCATGTTTTGTAAATTTCTTTTTTGACAATTTCATTTCAATATTTTTAACTATTATGTATATATTAACAAGATTTCTTATTTTTTGGAAAAAGAAACCAATGACTCTTTTTGAAGTACGTGAAGATAGAAAATTGCTAGACTCTTGTTCGAGCTTAAAAGATTTCCACTTGAAAAACAAAATAATTATTTTATTTATAAAGAAAACATTGTTTTTAAAAATATATTATTAGAAAAAGGAAATAGACTTAAATTTAAGATATAGATATAGCAATATTATTATTATTATTATCTAGAAACAATTATAATATAATAAATGGGCTTTAAATGGGATGGTCCGTTGGGCCTTGTGCCGACACAGCCAATAAATGGCTTGCGACTGTGATACCAGAGGCTCAATCGAAAGCACAAAGAAACACTCACCACCCAACATACACTCAAGGGATCCAGAAATCACCACCCAAAGTGTTTATCTTGGGATACAGAGTAAAGGGAACTCACCACTCAATGGAATCCTCCAAGGAGATATAGAGTTGAAGGATAATAAGTTCAAAAGAACCTAACTTTCCATTTCAATACTCAATGTCCCAGCAGAACACAATGGGGAGTTTAAAAAGAAGCAAACAACTCTCCAAAGATAGGTGACTGGAAATCTAGCTGGAAAGAATAACAGTGTCTGATCCCTAGTGGCTCATCTAAAACAATCCCTGCCCCAGAAGCTACATTAGTTTTTGATCCATCAAAGTATAGCTTCCAAGGTGTGAGGTGAATTGAATAAATGGGGTTGTTAAGGCAAGTATGAGCTTTAGTCAACAGATCTGCATTCGCTATATCCAAAGAGTCCATGTTTTCAATCTCTTCCCCTAGATGATCTGCTAGAAAATCTGCTACAGCTTGTCCTTTAACAGCTTTCTAAGGAACATATCTGAAAGCAAACTCTGTCAAAGCAAGGGTCCATTTGATCAAATCTGTCTTGGCAATGATGTAGATGGTGAATGGCAGCATGTAGTGTCTGAGTTTTACAGCAGTGAAGTATAAGGCTAGACAAAGCCTTTCAATTGCAGAATATTTCATTTCTACTTCTGTCAAAGTTCTGCTCAGATAGTAGACTGCCTGTTCATTTCCTTCCTTGTTATCTTGGACCAACAGACTCCCAATGGACACTTCTGATGTAGAAATATAAAGTTTGAGTGGTCTTCCTTTCTTTATTGGGGACAGAACTGGTAGATTTGAGAGCTAGTGCTTGATTTCCTCAAAAGCTTGTTGATGTTGTTCTTCCCATTTAAACGTCTGTTCTTGTTTTAATTTTAGCAAGAAAGAGAATGGCTAGATTTTTCCTGCAGAATTGGATATGAATCTTCTTAGAAAATTAATTTTTCCTGGTTGATTCTGTAGTTCTTTCTTGTTCCGGGGTGGTAGAGCTTCTATGATGGATGTTGCTTTATTTTTGTCAACCTTTATGCCCCTTTGGTGAACCAAGAAACCTAAGAAATTTCCTGCCTGAACTCCAAAAACACATTTCTTGTGATTCATTTTTAACTTATGTTGTTTCATTCTTAAGAATGCCTTTTTTAGATTTGACACATGCTTTCATTCTTCCGGGGATTTAATCACTACATCATCTATGTACACCCCTAGAGAATGTCCTATCATATCATGTAAAACAGAATTCATTGCTCTTTGATAAGTGGCTCTTGCATTTCTTAAGCCAAAAGGCATTATAGTGTATTCAAAAGCACCTACGTGCCTTGGGCACATGAAGACTGTCTTATGGATATCTTCTTCTGCTACCATAATCTGATTGTAACCTGCATTGCCATCCATAAAAGATAGCATTTGGTTATGAGCAGCTCCATCTACTAGCATATCTGCCATTGGCATAGGATATTCATCCTTGGGAGATGCTTCATTCAGATTCCTATAATCCACACAGATCCTAACTGCCCCTATTTTTCTCTTCAGAACTGGCACAATATTGGCTAGCCAATCGGCATAAATGGGCAGTCTGATGAATCCTGCCTTGAGCAATCTTTCTATTTCTTCCTTAACTTTTAGTTCTGTTTCCATAAACATTCTTCTTCTGGCCTGTTTGACTAGAAGATAGCCTTCTTTGATTGGCAGCTTGTGTTCCACCAATTTTCTATCCAGTCCAGGCATCTCATGATAATGCCAAGCAAAACAATCTCCAAAATCATGCAAAAGTGCAATGATTTCACTCATGAGTGGTTCTTTCAACAGTGCACTAATGAAAGTTGGTCTTAGATCATCTTCTGTCCCTAAGTTTATCTCCTGTAATGGATCTTCCACTTCTGGCAAAGAGTCATCCAGTGTTGCTGGTGCAAAATCTAGTACTTCATATTGTAAACTCTCTTCTTCTTGTTCTTCCGTGCTCTCATAGGTGAATTCTGCCGTATTAATGGCTGGATTTTGCATGAAGAGTCTCCTTTCTTCCTAATATATCAACAATCTTTTTGTAATGGATCGGATTGTTACAGCTCGATCCTTTTCCTGTTGATTGGGACAAAAGGATTATTCCAGTCTTCTAGAAAACTGGCTAAACCATCTTTAATGAGTT